TGTGTGTGTGTGTGTGTGTGTGATAGGGTAAACATATCCTTATGGGGACCGCTCATTCATTTCAATGGGAAAAATGTTAACGCTAACTATGACAACCTTAACCCCTACCCTGCCCTAACCATAACCATAAGTAACCTAACGAAATACAAGAGTTTTTGCATTTTTAGTTTTTTCATAGCAGTCACCGATTTTTATAAAATAGAGTTTTCCCTTATGGGGACCAGGAAACTGGTCCCCATAAGGGAAAAGAAAACGGATATTTATCACGTTATGGGGATATTATGTCCCCATAAGGATAGGTAAACCCGCTCACACACACACACACACACACGCACGCACGCACGCACACACGCACGTAAAAATACATTCATCCTTTATTGCAGTGTTTCCCAGTCCGGTCCTTGGGATGCACAGACAGTCCACATTTTTTCTCCCTCCCAGCTCCCTGGGGCAAAAATGTGGATTGTTTGGCAGGGAGCTGGGAGGGAGCGAAAACATGGGCCGCTGAGGGTCCCTGTGGACCGGGTTGGGAAACACTGCTTTACAGTATTGATTTAAGATGTTCCTTGGTTGTCATACAACTGCTGGCTAAATAAAATCCTAAACCTGGGAAACAACTCAAAGGTAAGTCCCTCTCAAAATGCAAAGTGTGGTATTTCATGACAACTCACAACAAATCTCTGTTCAATGAAATTAATATTTACTATGAGGCATTTACTTGGAGCCCAGGACAGACAGTAAAATGCATATTATAAAGGTCTATCACATAAAACTCCTGCAGCAGAAGGACAGGTGCAAAATTGCACCAGATAGTATTTGGCTTAACAGACTCCTTGTTACTGGATGGTCCACCAGCTGGTGGGGGGAGGGGGGGTCTTGTTCTGGACCGGAGGAAAGGTGAGTTAGTGGTTAGTTTACCCCCTTGTAGGGGTCTGACTGTGTGATTGTGGAGGAGTGTGAGAAGGATTACGCTTCTTGTGAGCAATGTAACATGTACGAATACATAGTACTTTCCAGTAGTCCCTCATTTATTTCTTAGAAACAACGTTTTTCTTCACAAGTCAGATTAGAGACTGGTGCTCACATAATAAAAGTAGAGAGCTTAAAAGATGATATTGCACAAATATGCACATTATTATTCCTCAGGATCTCTGAGTAATACTCTGAGGAACTCTGATTATTACTCTGAGGAACTCTGGAGCAAACATATTACAGGGAAAAGTGCTGCTGCTGTAGGTTGATGGTACAATGGAGCTCATCACATCTTGCTGATCGGCAATGTGGCACCGCATTGTGGGGCCCTGCTGTGATAGGAAATTTGAAAAGGTGTTAAGAGTAGCTCCAGTACTTCCTTACCAGTAACACCTTGTGCCCGACCGTGTCTGTGGCAGCCTACAATTAGGGGGAAACTGAAGGGAAAAGGAGGAGGTTTGGGACACTGCTGTACTTTTGTGAGGGAAAAGATCCTATTATTGATAATGGCTCTCCCAATCCACTCCACTCATCTGTGTTACTGAAGGAACATTTAAGCGAAATTTTTTGCTCTAAAATGAATTCCATACCCTGTGTGCAAGTGTGTGTCTAAAACACTTTTTTTGGTTATTTTTAGTTTTGTTGTTCTACTCATCCTGGGCCTTTTTTTCAGACTCTATGATCCACAGATGTAGGAGCGTCACATACTGTAAATGAGTCACTTTACTGATTGTCTGTTGTTTCTTGGTACATACCGAAAGAGAAACCATTTCAGTGATCTATTTGTGCCTCCAAATTGGTAGAGTGAAATCCAGCTGATGAAGATAAAGGCTTAATTTCTGCGTTTACAAAACCTTTCAGTGACTATCTGTTACTTTCTGGTAAAAAATAAAAAAATTTAAAATTTGGAAGAGCCTCACCATTATACACTGCCTGGCTAAAAAAAGTGTCACCATTTGAATTTTTTGTTTAACTGCCTTTAGCTTTGATTATAGCACACATTTGTCATGGCATTGTTTCTACAGGCTTATGCAACATCTCACTCTTCATTTCCATCCAGATTTGCATTAATTTCTCACCGAGATCCAGCATTGACAAGTGAGTTGAACCACTCCATAAAGGCTCCTTCAGCACATCCCAAAGACCTTCAATGAGGTTAAGGTCACAACTCTGTGGTGACCAAGTCATGCGTGAAAATGATCCCTCATGCTCCCTGAACCACTCTTTGACAATTCAAGCCCAATGAATCTTGGCATTCTTGTCCTGGAATATGCCCATGCCAACAGGGAAGAAAAAATCCATTATGATGGATGGAGGTGTAACCTGGCCATTCAGTAGATTCAGGTACTCAGCTGACTTTACTTTATTGCCACATAACGTTGCTGAGCTGTAATAATGATCCAGTCATTGGCTCTTAAGTATTTGCTGATATAAATTCAAATGGCGACTTTCTTTTTGCCGGGCAGTGTATATGTGTACTTGACCAATATCATTTTAGAATATGGGACCATCATCAGAAGACAGTGTTTGTACCACAGGGTGCACCTGGTCCTATAAATTGACCTCATATTTCTTGTGACCTTTCAGAGAAATCCTCAGACTGAGATGGCAGCCCATTCTTTTTTACATCCTCCACATTGAGGGGTGGAGGTATCCTTTGGCTTTCTTCAAATGGAAACCTGTCCAGATGTAGGGAAAAGTTTGAAAGATGCCTCACCAAGAAATGGTTGCTTCTTTTTGCGTTGACCCTGGCTATTAGTTTCCTAGTTATTGGTTTCTGAATGACAGTCCTGCTATAAATTCCAGCTTTGTGAAGCTCACAATTTTTGTTAAGACTAAGTCAGAGAGGTGCTGATTCAGTTTATTTAAGTAAAGTTAATTTATGAGGCCATACATCTATGCCTGCTCACATATAAAACAAACCCTGGCTTCCAGCTTGTGACAGTTTTCCATAAAAGGCAGTCAGACCCCATCCTCTGATCTGATGTGTTACATCCATCCCAACTCCCTGATCTGATGTGCTACATCCATTCCAACTCCCTGATCTGATGTGCTACATCCATTCCAACTGCCTGATATGATGTGCTACAGTACATCCATGCCAACTGCCTGATCTGATGTGCTACATCCATGCCAACTGCCTGATCTGATGTGCTACATCCATTCCAACTGCCTGATCTGATGTGCTACATCCATCCCAACTCCCTGATCTGATGTGCTACATCCCTAAAATGGCAACATACTGGCAACTGTAACCAGGTGAAGTGAAAGCTGGAATGGAGCTGATGAAGATTTTCCTATCAGAAGTGTGGCGCTCAGCCAAATTTGACTGCTAAACTATGCGGCCTGTTGCCAACATGCTGTAACTTGCTTTACTGTGACTTTTATTATGTCAAACCAGTATGGCTGGTGAAGTCACAGTCATTCCAGTCCCTTCTTAAGCACACACTCCTCTACTAGCCTGATGCTTCTTTACGCTCCCTGATTGTTCTTATGTTGCACATCTGGTCTTTGAATAGTCTTAGTTTCTTGCTTTGTCAGAAACTGTTGTTTAGCTCTTGCTCCAATATTGCTTACACTTGCACTTGGGCATTCACCAGAAGCTCAGCATAGCTGCACTTATGTCTAGTTTACTGCTTGACAGCATGTATGTTTACAATATGCTATTAGCCTCACTTATACACCAAAAGCATCTGCTAGATACCTTCAATGTAATTGTAAATACTCAGTTTGTATGTCAGCCGACAGAAATCAAGTCAAAAATATAGAAGAACACAAAAAAGTTGTCACAAGACGACATGAAGTCTAGTATTTTATACATTATTACTCCTGGGAAGTTGATTTTCATATTGGTATAATAATGTGGCTGTAATTAAGGTTAAAAGGAGATAATTAATCAAGCCTTTGAGGAAACATGAAACTGATTTAATTTGCTGCATACAAAAGGGCAGAAAATGTCAGGATGTTTTTTTCCCATAAAAAAAATCTGATTTCACAACTTCTTCTTAGCTTTAGGAGGTTTCTGAAAAATCTTGATGCCCTGCTGCACAAAAAACGTTTCATTTCTGTGTGCCGGTGTCTGTGACAGGCAGTACACTTACGCAGGACCATGACGCCATGGCGCAGGGACTGGATGCGATTGGGCTCCATTGAGACACTCAGCATGGTTGGGCTTCCTCCGACGACGCACACGCGGGTGTCCCGCTCAGCCTGGCGGAACATGTGAAGGAGCTGGCTGGCGATCATTCCATTCAGTGCCGAGATCGCTGCCATGGGAACCACGAAGGAGAGCAAGGCATTCACCTGTTCGGGGGGGGGGGGGGGGTCACACACAAGCAGATGGACAATGGGGTGGAAGAGCAAAAAGTGAGAGTGAGGCACTTGTGCATTTTATTACACTTAGAATATCAACATATTTCATATATTATAGCTCAAACAGAGATATAGTCCTTGTAATACAGCTTATAATGCAAACTCTTTTTCAGCATTTGCTCATTTTGACAGTTGAGGCAGTAATGTGACACTCAGCCTCAAAACCAGAACAGAGATAGATAACAACACAGCAGCAACAGAAGGACTCTGCATGTCACCAAATGACAGGGCCGACTTTTAAGGGAGAAATAGTCCTCTTAACATGTTTCTTCTTCGCTGCTAGGGGTGTAATACAGCTGCATTGATTGAAAATCCCCAATCTGACTCAAATTCGGGAGGAAATTTGTCGTATGTCGATAAAGACTTCACTAATCGATATACTCATTGTGTTAGCATTACAGACTAGTATTATTACTGCACATTCAGTTACCTGGAATCTAAAGGGTTTTGCAGACCTATTTTGGGAAAAAGAAGTTTTTAGGAATAAGGGCTATGATCAAGAGATATTACTCTGTCAGTCACAGGATTTGAACCAGCAACCTTCCACACAGAGGCACAGAGTCCTAACTTGCAGAAACACACACAGTAACAGCAGAAGACACAGATATGGCACAGTAGCTCAGTGGGTATCACTGTTGCCTCACACCTCCAGGACTGGGGCCCTGAACCCACACTCTGCTTTGTATGTGTGGATTTTACATGTTCTCTCTGATTTGTGCATGTTTCTCTCTTCTCCTCAAAACACGCCCCCTCTGACATGCAGCACAGGTCTGTTCATGGTGCACATCAGTGGTGAACAACCTGATCAACCTGGACCAACTCATTAGTGCCTCCTACTGGGCAGCACACACCAGTGTTTCTCAAACATTCCTCAAAATTTGAAAATCACATACCACATCCTGAGGAATCTTGATTTTGGTTTACTAACAGTCACTGCAAAAGGCAATGAAGAATTAAAGGGAGCTGATAATAAGCATCAAATCAAATGTCAGGTCTTTTTTGTCCTGTAGACAAGTATTCTTCCAGCATGAGCTTGTGGTCAGTATCATGAATATCAAATAATGAGTTTCTGGCAAAACCTAATGATGCACAGCTCTTATTTTCAGTATTATTACTTGCATGACACAAAACGTTAGGCAGGTAGAAGGGAAATGCACTGTTTACCACAAGGGGGGCAAGCTAAGCTTTACAGACCAGTGGCTAAATCCAGGTGTGTGTAATGAAGGCCCACAGAAAGGGTTACTCCAAACAAACTGTGAGTTTTGCATAACTGGACATTTGCCCAAAGAGCCTTATGCATAACTCAACTTCACATCAAACGTTCATTTTGCACTTCTCACCGTAAGTTATTCAGACTTTTCCTTGACCTATGATTTTATAAATGCCAGCAACTGATGCATCAAAACAACTTCAGTTTAATAAAGAAATATGGCTGATACATCCATCTATACATCCATCTTCCATAACCACTTACCCTGTACAGGGTCAAATGGACTAGCATTCCATTAAGGATGAATAGATGGATATTGCTAAGGGTGAATCAGCTAACTGTAGAATGACCAAGAGATCCAGAAACTACTCCTAAAGCCAGTCCATGAATTTTATAAGGTATTTATAAGGCAATTGCCTGTGCCTTATTTGTGGATAGAAGTAAGAAGAATCTACAGTATATGCATGAGTAGTAGTTAGCTGTTAGTAGTTAGGAGGACAATCAATCATTCCAATAAGTCAATCAGTCAATAACTCCTTAGCTTAAAAGCACCAGGATGGACCGACAATATGCCGTTATTATGCTTTTGTCTTTGTTTCCACTGCCCTTCACCCCTTCCAAGAAATTTTGCAGTCTAATGAGAAAACTACTTACTGCCATTGAGCCAACCTACAAATTTCACATATTATATCACACAGTTCCAAAACATAGATAGATAGATGGTGGGTGGATGGATGGATGGATGGATAGGTAGGTGGGTGAACGGATGAATGAATAGGTAGTCAGGCAGATAGATAGATACAGTAGATAGATAGATCATTTTAAGGGTATCCGTGTTAAATCTGTATTAATTATATTTATCCTTCTTTTATTAATGCTCTCCATATGAATCCTACATCCTTGCTTGTTCCTTTTTTGAAATCAATGAATGTGATGCAGAATTCACCTTTCAAATGGGGACTTTCCACAGTGGACACAGAAATGAATACCTCGTGAACCATCCCTAAAAAAAAAAGATTGTATTTTATAACCTATCCAGCCACACTTTCATAAGACTCACAAAACTGCACTTGCAAAAGCATCTGCCCAGAAGAGGAATTAAAAGGTTCATCTAAAAAGTTTATTTTACATATAGTATGTGTCAGAAAAGATAGAATATTTTATATTTTCCACAAAGTTTTATATCTACTACGACTTTACACAATCCCCAGTGCTCGTTCAAATTAGCGAAGAAGCAGCGGTGAATTTCAGTCCGTTGGTTATTTGCTTCTATTCCAGCTGAAGTGACAATCCACAGAAGCGAAAGCCCCCCTTCCATTGCAGAATGAATGTCGAGCATTCAATCTTGAGGCTGTTGAAAAAACAGCCTCAAAAAAGTAATTTCTGTGCATCATCATCAAGGTTAGACAGGAGCACATCAGTAAAGCTGCTATCTGCAGCTTCTCTTTCCCAACCTTCTCTCAATCCCAAACACACAAATTACTGCCCAGCCCTTATCTCTACTACTGTCAGGGACAATGTGGAACCACAAGGCACAGATCACTCTTCCATATTCTGTATATTTGGTCATGTGCAACAACATGTGCCTAATGTATACTGCAGAAAATGGTGGATTTAATTATTATAGGAAAGAGCTGCATGATTGCATTCACTTTAAACTTATAGTTAGCCCAGGGTTAATGCACTGTGCAGAAAAAGCAACACATGCTGTGCAAGGTCCACCTCAGCCGTGTGCTCTGTGCTGCCTGGAACAGGCTCCAGGTCCCATGCAACCATGAACGAGATGTTTGGGTGGGTGAATGAAAAGATCATTTTGTGTCAGCAGCATACAAGGCAGGGATGGAGAACACCCCCCTCCCCCAAGCTTGGACACACCAAGCCGCCTACAAAGGAGAGCGTTAGTGTCGCATCACATGACCTGATCACCTGACCTAAACACCGTAGAAATGGTTTTGGAGGAGCTTTACTAGAGGGTGAAGGGAAAGCAGCCAATGAGTGTTCAGCATACTGTACATGTGGGGCCTCCTGCAGGACAGGAAAGCTTCCCAGGAGGCCGCCTCATTAGAACTGGCATAGAGAGACAGTGGGGTCAGCCGGTCCCTGGGCCAATTGGGGTTAAGGGCCTTGCTCAAGAATAGATAAATAAACCTTACTATGGTGTGTCCAAACTTTTGACTGGTACTGTAATTCAGTCTAATATTGCCAATACTGATACATGACTAACCTCTGACCCATTGCCGAGTGGGAGTGGAGGTAAAACCTGCTGATCTTGCCTGCACAAATTAGTGAAATGACGTTACATGTTTTTATTCTGTGGAAAAAGAAAGCTCGACCTGCAGCCCAGATTTAATAATGAATTAAAAACATGTTGCAGGCTGTATAAAACCAGTCTGAGCTGAATGCAGAAACTCTGGTGTAAATGTTTTCTTTTTCTAGTATTGTACACGTAATTCCATGGGTTGTAGGTTCTGAGGTACAGATTTTTACTTTGATGGCATGGGGACACAATGTGCAGGATTTATGCAGACTGTTTAACTGTCTGTTACAGAGACAATGACAACAAGCATAATCCCTAAAATAAACACAAACCATTCTTGGCCACTCCAAACCTAAAAAATGAGCACACTGCAGACTCCCCAAATCCCCGTGACCCAAACAGATTACCCTGTTAATTTGGTATGTCAAATCATTCAGCTGGAATTCATTACCTAATGCCTGTAGAGAAGAGGTTAAGTATGTATTCACCATATTAACACAAAGGACCAAATCCCACAGAACAGGTAGAAGGCAAGGATTCTTTACAAAACTGGAGCAAAACCCTCAGTACAAATCCAGACCAAGATTTTCTTTCTACCAACCAGTTCAGTACTCTGTGACCATGACTTTTTATACTCAGCTGGTTGGTAGAAACAAAATCTTGGTCTGGATTTGTAGCTTCTGGACCTGAAATGCAGAAATACCGAAAACCCTATGAAGAAACATATTACATACAGACAGAAACAGAGAGAAAGAGAGACACAGACTCACACAGCCCCATTATGCTCTATCCCTCACTGTTCAATTTTTTTTTATAGGTTATGGGTCATCTAATAAATGGCACAATTCTGTAAATGGACCGCTACTGTTTGACCAGTGCCTAACAAATACTGCATATTGTTATCATCTCACTAGTAGACCAGCGTGGAAGAATAAGTGGAGATGTTACCTTTTTGAACCCATTTTTGAAAGCAAAAAACACAAGTAATCAGAGGTGGGTCAGTGTCTGGGTTTATCTGTCGGCCCATTAATAGTTATGAAATAACTATGCCACAAACCATTAGCGTGACATAACATACTATTAAAGACAGCTAATTTTCCACAAGTCAAACCAGCAGCGGACTGATGCTAATTTTACTTTGCTATGGGAACTTTGCTGAATAACTGACAAGGAATATCAATGGATGTATAGAAAGAAGAATAGAAAAGGAGCTCCAGAAATTGAAAACGGAGCCTACTGCGTCTGGTGCAATGGGCTGCAGTATTTCTCTTCTTCTTCTTACAGAAGTGCAAACATGTAAACATCTTCTGACAGTAAGACAGAATGCAGATTTTTTTTGCAGGTACTGTGTAGGAAAAGTTAAGAGTTAAAGAAACACAGAGTCTGTTGGATTGACATGTACTTCAGCGAGAGAAAATGCACCTCAGTGGAATGTCAGCTTGTCCTGGTAGCTCCAGCTCTCCT